GGTAAAATTAAATTCCGAATAACTCAAGAAGCATACACATTTTTGTCAATATTGTGATAAGATTTTTCAAAGCTATTTGAATTTCCTAAAAAATGAAGAAAGTTTCAGCGAAATCGAAGCACTATTAGTAGAGATATCGCAATTTTTTTTTTTTATTATTTTAATTAACTTTACAACTGTATTACATGGAAAATACAATAAGTAAATGTGACATACAATAAGTAAATGTGACATAATAAGTAAATGTGAAATCCTACCTTATTTAATTTACTATTATTTGAATTTTTATGGATGGCTATTATTTGTGAATCGTGTTGTGGGTGGTTTTAATAATAATAGCTATTTATTTTATTAAATTGACAAAACTAATAAAAGGTGTGGCATGATCTGATGATAATTGCATAACATTTTCAGTAATTATGTAATACATATATTGTTAATGTTATTAATTAACTGTTAATTTATACTACTTGAAATTTTATAATTATAGAATGTGGTGCCTGGACACCGAAAGCTTATCTACAAATAAAATTTTAAATCAAAAATGAGATTATTAAAGGTAAAAAAATCCTGAACTAATAATTATTTTATTTAAAAGGTCAGTTTCAAAGAAAAGCAAATTAAACCGCAGTCTTATTGAGATTTGATTGGAATTATAATTTGATATTTAAATCTCTCAAACAGGGAAACCTTGGAAACTTTCCTCTCACTCGTTGGCAATTCTAAGGAAAGCTCTGAAGTGAATTGAAATTGTAAGGGGAATCTCAATCAAGGTAATTAAGGAGAAAATCGTTTCAATTAACTGTGTTAATGAAATTACAGGATGAGTAAGCATGTTCAACTGCTATACTTTTATTTAATAGTCTGTAGGTGTTTTTTATTCAGTTTATTTAAAATTGCCTATAATTTTATCCCTTTTCTTATAAAAATACGAAATATAACCGGAAAATAAAGTAAATTATTATTGTGTAATTTAGATTGTCAACAGCTTCCGCAATGCAGATGACACTGATGGTCTTAAGGACTATTCAGTATTTCAATTGGTCACCGATTTTAACAATTCTTTTGTTGATTCTAGATAAATATTGGCAAATATTTCCGGTATTTGACAAATATTCTCGGTATTGGTTCCAATACGACTTAGGAGCCGAGAAACAATAATATTTTATTAAATTATTTATTTAATGAAATTTACCACTGTATAAACAACACAACTAGTAAAAATGCACACATAAGAAATAATGATGTGAAAATACTTGAAGAGATACTGTCCCGTGGTAGCACTCCCTATTTAATTCTAGTGCGAAGATCACGAGGCCAACTTCTTTTCAGACGCCTTCGGGGGATTATCAGGAATAGAGAAAGATGCGTGGCTGGAAACGAGAGAATTCGGATGGGACTGGAGTTTATCGTGAAAGGATAGGTATCTGACTCGGGCTAAATCAGCGGCAATAATAATATAAAATTTAAAAAATGTGTTATAATTAGTTGCAAAAATTAAAAGTAAATAAAAAATTAGTTGCTCTTCCAATAAAGTAAATTTTTGTTAAGAAAAGCAAGGGAAGTTTGTTTTCAGAAGCAATTTAGAATTTTTAAAAAATGAAATATAATCGTTGCAGAAGTTTTTCTTTATTTCTAGCTTATCGAAAAAAAAACACATCTAACAACTACATTTAAAATTAACCAAACAATAAATAAACAGTAATTCTACATATAAATGTAAATAAAATAAATAGTTCATTATATATGTATACAACATATACATAAACATATATACATATATAATATTAATATATCACTAGTAAGCCTGTGAGAATAATCTACATAGTATATTGTTCAGTAAAAACAGCAATAAAATACGGAAATAATTATTTTAAATGTATTTAATTGAAGGAAAAATTAATTTTAATTTAAAAATAATACACAAAAACATAAGTAAAAACTACATTTAATATTATTTATGTTAAATATAGTCCAATTTCGATGATTTATTTTTTAATTGAAAACTTTTTAATTTTTACTATTTTTTTGTGGATAGTGAATTAGATTGAGCCGTCAAAACTCTGATGTAAAACGCTCGGGTAAAGTCGGCTGGAGTCGGCTAATTGAAGTCTTTTTACTTATGGATAAATATACACAAAAAATTGAAATTAGAACCTGCATATTGTTAAAAAGGAAAATGTTCATCATTTCATCTTCTTTGTAATGAGTTATTATTCAAAATTGTATCTTAACGCAACGCCGAGTCAGCGAGTCGAAAAGGATAAAAATTGTGTCAAAAACCAAATTCTAACGAGTTTTATTGAACATATGGATTGAAATAACTGAGAAACTAAAATCCGATCTGCATAATGTAAACGAGGAAAATGTTCAGCATTTCATCTTCTTTATAATGAGGTATTATTTATAATCTATATTTCATATTATTAATCTCGCCTTGTTGATAATTTCACTTCTATCCTGTGGTCTAAAGCACAATCCTCAGGTTTTTTTTTTTTTCATTTTGTAGAAAATAAAAAAAATGATAATGGAAATAATCAATCATAAATGTTATACTTTTATGAGTTAAATGTAAGTAGAGTTTTCTTTTCTTCTTTATTTTTCTGTTTTTCTGGAGGATGTTTTTATTTGTTCGCATTTAAAGAAGAAAATCTTCAAAATGAAAACTAAATCTTCAGATTTTATGAAGGATTGAAGATTATGTGACGTACAGACATTATAACAAAATAATAATGCTTAGCGAACCCGAAGGTTCGATACCGATACCATCATTCGATGTCCATATTCATCCATACACGGGGCTTCGTCTAAACCCAACCTCGAACATTTGGCAGTCGGGACAGCGCATATTAACTTTTTAGGAATTCTTTCGTTACTAATCCTAGCGATTTAACATGCTAACTTTCTTCACATCGACTTATTATATTAACCGGATAAAGTTAATATAATAAGTCAGCGTTGCGGAACTGCCTAAATTCTCCGGTTAAATTTTCTTTGAAGTTACTTTATCTTAAAAAACTTAAGGTTTCGCATCTATAAAGTACCGTAGGTAGAATAATCGTTTTGTTAATTCTTTATTTTATGTTTCGGGACAGAAGGCGATAACTAAGTAGTTTTGAAGAAGAAAAATAACAAGCATTTCCCGTCTTCAACCCAACCTTAATATAATCTTCAACAAAATTTAAAAAAAGATAAATTGACTATTGTTAGTGCTCAAAATATGCTCTGATGAGCTACATGCTTGAGTTGAAACGTCTATCCAATAAAAACCTTAAAAATGACCGCTTCCTGACTATTCATCACCTATGATATTATTGTAAGATAATATTTATTATATTATTTAAAATATTTATAAGATTAGGAATTCATGGCAAAAGTGGTTTCAATATTTTACTATCGCTAGAATAAGGTTGGGCTCATGCCTTATTTCGAATAAGATACATTTTATGGCTTTAAAAGGATTAGCCTTCTAAAGAACTAGACTGGATCATGATTTCCGCATCAACATATTTAGAAGAAACTTCATACAACAGTAATTGTAATAAGATTTTAAAATTATGAATTGTCAGTACACCATTAAATTATCTTTCAAATAGTTACTAGTTGTCCGTTGCATTATAAAGGAAGGAGATGGTCCGGGGTGGCGGTCATAAATAGGCTAAATAGTGGCAAAACTATTTTTATTAAAAGCCGACGTTTCAACCCGACTTTTCAGGTCTTCATCAGGGCTAGAACGGACAAGATACAAAAAGATACTGATAATAGTGGCAGTTACATAATATTCAGATAAAATTTATAAACAATGTGAATAAGCTCATTAAAATTATAAACAATAAGTACATTGAAATATAAACAGTGTATACTAAGTATCAAGACACTAAACTGAAGTAAATAGATGCTAACAATTGTTGTAGTGTGATATATAATAAATGCAAATGTGAATATACTTCTACAGATCTACAGGAAAGATTGAAAGAAAAGGAAAAAGGATATAATATGAAATAATAGACGTAAAGGAATATGAAGAAATGAAACCAAAAATTAAATAAATAGATAACTAAAATGGAAGAATAAAATTAGAGACTTACAGGTGTGTTCAGCTAGGAGTTTCACTTCGAACTGGGAAATCAGGGGGTAAGAGCAAGTATAAAGGAATCTTGTTTGGATAATGGAGAAAAACCTAGAAAATTACAGAATCTAAAATTTGAAGGTATGGATGGATACAATAGAAAAATACTATATTTATGAAATATTAAATTATAAATATATATATAATTATATACATAATGTCATGTATATATTTATAATTTACTATGTATATTTGTAATTTTCTCCATTATCCAAATAAGTCAGCTTCCTTTATATCTGTCCTTACCCCCTGGTTTTCCAGTTCGAAGTGAAACTCCTAGCTGAACACACCTGCAAGTCTATATCATTCTTCCATTTTATTTACCTATTTATTTAATTTTTTGTTTCCTTTCTCCACATTCCTTTACGTCTATTATTTCATATTATATCCTTTTTCCTTTCCTTTCAATCTGTCCTGAATAGATGTAGAAGTATATTCACATTTACATTTATTATATATTACACAACAACAATTGTTAGCATCTATTTGCTTCATTTTAGGATCTTGTTACTTAGCTTATTTGTTCATATTTTAATGTACTTACTGTTTATAATTTCAATAAGCTTATTAACATTGTTTATAAATTTTGTCTAAATATCATGTAACTGCCACAATTTTCTATCTTGTTCGTTCTAGCCCTGAAGAAGACCTGCAAAGTCGGGTCGAAATGTTGGCTTTTAATAAAAATAGTTTTACCACTATTTAGTCTATTTATGACCGCCACCCCGACCAATCTTCTTCCTTTAAATTAACTTTCGTTTGATATTTCCCTCATTTATCTTAACCTATCACTCTTGCGGGCTAATATAGGGCCGTGTAATACTATCGCTTTATATACATAACCATTATTTGAATCTGAAACCATACTTACATCTATCCTATAAGAGATAGTCATGATCTTGCAGGAGTCCATTGTGAATGTAGTTGGAGGAAGAGGTGGAAGGCGTACTCCTGCGGAACCCCACGTGAACGACACTCCAGGTCTGACTTCTCCTCTGGTCACCTCGAGGACTCTCCGGGTGTCTTCGTGTCGTCGAAGACCTTGTCCAGAGATGTAACCCACTACCTGGAAGCAAAATGCAGAATGTCTTTTTCGATTTATGAATAAAACAACAAGCATTCTCTTATTAGCAACGGTTTAGCGTAGATATATTGAATATACTTTTAAAAAAGTCTAGAAATTTTTTTTCAAAGTGAACACTACTTTAAGCGAACTCTTTTTGGAGAATAAATTAGATTTCTGATGTATACCGCTCGGGAAAAATCGGCTGGAGTCGGTTAATTGAAATGTTTTTGCATAAGTATTAAATTATCTAAAAAAATAAAAATTGGACATGCACATTTTTAGCGAGGGAATTGTTCAGCATTCCATCCTCTCTCTAATGGGCTATTATTTAAAATTGTATATATTTTTTTGGTCTCGAGTTACTAAACTAATCCAATTCCTATTTTTTCAAAATATGACTTAATGTGTCACTGAAAATTAGTTATTATTGGCTGTATTGCACAAAGTAATATTCTGGGTGCCACTCAGTATTTGTTTATAGAAAGTTTTATGTTATTCGAAAATTGTCTTGTTATACAATTATTTTTATTTATTTATCATTGGAAATTTACACTAATGTCCATAAAATGGGACCCTTTATTAATTCATTTTTATTTCCTGAACGTTTACACTTGAAAGCAATGTGTCTCGGATCTTTCGAAAATTGGCGTGATGGACAGTAACCACTTTAAGTGCCCAAATGCGAGACCGAGACGAGTCTTGGTATTGCAAATTCAGTCTTGATCATGGTCTTGGTCTTGAGCAACAGTCTTGCATTTACTTATCAGCACATTTCTATAAAGATATTACAGTAATTTTTTAGAGAGGTGAAACCTAACTTAGCCCGAATGAAAAATTAGAGGAGTTAAATGCAAAAGTATATTGGTTATACCAATTATTAACATATAGTAACTAAGATTGTCAAGTTTTAGTAACTGTTTTGCCTTAATTTTCATTCAAAAAATAGATTTTTTTTTACCAGTCGTGGTCTTGGTCTTGCAACAGTTAGGCGGCCTTGGTCTTGCATAGTGCAACACCGATTTTGGGCAACACTAACCACTTTAGTTATAATCACATTATATATAGAAATTTATTTGTTCTGCCATGTTTTATTGTAAGTATAGTCAGCTTTACTAAGCTAAGGCAGTTTTTATTTTTTAGAACATAGAAAATTTTGGAGTTTTTAAGACACACATCTCTTAATTGGAGACTTTCGTGATTGCCAAAACTCTAATGTATATTTATTAACAAAAGATCGCAGGACAACTGATATTTCGACCTTCGAGAAGGAATCTAGGGATGAGTGAAGTTTGTTAAGGATTTTGGCAGATTTGGACGATGAGTAAGATTTTGTCGAAGCCTTGAGAATTTACATTTGGGATATCCAACGCTGTCATCACCACCTATGCCAATGACACGTATATTTTATCAGTTAATAACGATACATCTATTGCATCCCAAACTCGTCAATCACACATCACTAGTCTTGAAAAATGGTGTCAACACTAGAGGATTAAAATAAATTCCAATAATTCCCATCAAATTACCTTCACTCTTCGTCGTAAACCTATGACTTCCTGTCCTATAGTATCCTTCAACAATAGCCCTCTTATCCCTATCGAACAAATGCGATACTTAGGACTCCACCTTGACTCACTTGGAACCCCCATACCAGACTGAAACGACTAGAAACCGCCCGAAGTTTTCGACTACTGCAGCACTTACTAGATAAACGCTCTAAGCTTTCAATCAATTACAAACGAATCATATATATGACAATAATAAGACCTATTTGGACTTACGGAATTGAGCTTTGGGGCTCCACCGAACCATCGAATTCCTCTCGTACCCTTACAATCCAAAATCCTCAACGCTCCCTACTTTGTCACAAACGAAATCATCCATAAAGACCTTAATGTTCCACATGTTTCCTATTTGGCCCAATCCAGATACCTATCCTTCAATAACAAACTGTAGAACCCTCCAAATCCTCTAGTTTCAAACCTTGCTTCCTCCTCAATCCCTGATAACCCTCCGAGGCGTCTGAAAAGAAGATGACCTCCGGATCTTCTAATATACAACTTTAATTTGAGTTCTACCAATGGGTAGTTTCTCTTCATGTTGTACATGTCATGTTACCAATTTCATAATTACTCGTTATATTTTCCATGTAATACAGTTGTAAATTTCATTAAAATAAATTAAAAAAAGTTTTTGTTGGTTACTTAGAACCGGGCGTTGATAATTGTTCGAAGGACTTGGAAACAATAAAATACATAGGAATTTTAGTATCATGATCTTGAAAAGCCAGTGAGATATTGCGAAGTATTACACATTACATTCGAACCTGGACCACAACAGCCCTTAGACTGGTGATGATGGTGTTGCTCATGTTGTGGACCTCGACGCAGATCGGGGCGATCTCACCTGGAGCAAACCCTCTCCTTCTCAGCTCTGCGCTGGCCACGATCGTGCCCTTGGGGCAGCAGAACAGGCAAGAGTTGGTCGTCTTGTGTTCCTCGCATCCCGCCTGCAAGTTATATATTATATGAGTATAATGTATATATAATATATAATAATAGTTATAACTATAAAAATAATGTACTACTAATAACCCATGAAGAGTCTTGAGTTCAGTAAAATGTGAGGAAGCACTGTTGTTACCTGGCCGACGGTTGGGCAGAGAGCTAATTATTTAATTAATAGTACCCACTTTATAGAGGCTGGGTTTGTCACAGGAGGTTTTCCAGACCCCAATGTTGACTCACGGCTAATAAAAAATTACTTGTCACCAACGGGATTCAAACCTAAGACCTTGAACTCTCTGGAAGTCAGTGCTCACCCACTGAGGTACCCCACCCCCCTTAAGTTTGTATGAGTTAGTAATTTATTTGATAAATAACTTAGTCATTGAATATTTTGTAAAACTAACCGTACCAGATTTTTAATTATATTTCTTGTCGAGATAAACTTTAAAAAAAACAGTAACATGAAATTTTTATATCGCCATTTTTTTGAAAAAATCATTAATACCTTATTGTCTATTATTTAACACAATATACAACAATCCCACCAAAATGAGTATGCAGACTGTAACATATGTACCTATCGTATACATTTTACTTATATATATATATATATATATATATATATATATATATATATATATATATATATAATATATATATATATATATATATATATATATATTATTTTTTTTTCTACTCGTAATCTATTGCGTCATATGTAGATCACAATATTTGTCTAATTTTTCACAATATCTTCATGTGTTTTCACTTAAACTTCTTAAGGAACATATGTAAATCATTTATTTACTCTGGTTATTTCTTTTTATTTTATATTTTATCACAAAAATGGTTATTCTATAAAACTTATTTAGCGTTTCATTCCAATTTTATTTAGTTATTGTATGTGTTTGTTTTTTCTACCAATATTGTAATATTGTAACCCTTATTGCCAGTCATTAGCCGGATTCGAACCTCCGGCTTTGAGCTCTGGAAGTCAGTGCTCACCCACTGAGCTGTTCCGCTCCGCTATACATATCAGTATAAATACAATAAGTAAAAACATATAATTAAGCAATAACAATAACAATATGCTATATACTTTCAAATTGAAATCCAAATATTATCATATCATGCCGTACTCTTTCCCCTTACTTTTTCTATTTAAAAACTATAAAAGATTAGAACAGTGTTCGTTCTTCGTCTCATATTATATTTATTCTTATGAGAACGGATTTTAGAATAAAAATCGTGATTAATTAACTAAAGAAAGGAGATGCCCCGGGGTGGGGGTCTTAAATAGGCTAAATAGTGGCAAAACTATTTTATTAAAAACCAACGTTTCGACTCGACTTTGCAGATCTTCTTCAGGGTTAGAACGGACAAGATACAAAAAACATAGAGAAGTGTGGAAGTTACATAATATTTAGACAAAAAATTATAAACAATGTGAATAAGCTTATTAAAATTATAAACAGTAAGTGTATTAAAATATGAACAAATTAAGCTAAGTAACAAGATCCTTAATTGAAGAAAATAGATGGTAACAATTTTTATAGTGTAATATATAATATATGCAAATGTGAGTCCACTTCTACAGATCTACAGGAGAGATCTTAGGATTTCTTATTATTACTTATTAGGATCTTGTTACTTAGCTTACTCTGTTTAAATTTTAATGTACTTACTGTTTATAATTTTAATAAGCTTGTTTTTATAATTTTTTGTCTAAATATTATGTAACTTCCACAATTCTCGATCTTTCTGTATCATGTCCGTTCTAGCCCTGAAGAAGACCTGCAAAGTCGGGTCGAAATGTTGGCTTTTAATAAAATAATTTTACCACTATTTAGCCTATTTATGAACGCCACCCCAGAACATCTCCTTCCTTTATAATGCAACGGTCAACTATTAAATATTCATTAATTAAATAAAATATAATTGATTTACTGATTTTTCAGAAAACAGGACTCCTCTTTGCCTAGTAATCATGCTGTCGAAAAGTAAAATTATAAGACGTTGGCGTGCCCAGAAGCATGCCTTCCTATTTTAAATTTATTGAATTTAAGTGAAAACTTCTTTTAGCGCCCTTTACACTTTTTTTTTTGTGGAGATGGAATTAGATTGAGCCGTCAGTTCTCCGATGTGTAACGCTGGAGCCGACAAATTGAAATATTTTTTCATATGAATTAAAATATCATGAAAACTAAAAATCGGTTAGATTGAGCCGTCAATTCTCCGATGTGTAACGCTGGAGCCGACAAATTGAAATATTTTTCATATGGATTAAAATATCTTGAAAACTAAAAATCGGAACTGCATATTTTTAGGATGGAAAATGTTTACCATTTCATCTTCTTTGTAATGGGATATTATTCAAAATTGTATCTTAACTCGAAGCTGTGTTTGTGAAGCAACATGACAAAAAATAGTGACTAAAACCAAATTATAATGAGTTTTATTGAAAATATGGATTAAAATATCTCAGAAAATAAAAATCGGACCTGCATACTATAAGTGAGGGGAAAATTTTCACCATTTTATCTTCTTTATAATGAGCTATATGATTGATTATTATTAATCATGACTTTTTGATGTTTTCACTTTTATCATACATCTTAGTTTTATTTTTATTTTTTGTCTTGTTTTTTTTTTTTTAATTTGGTTTTGATATTACAATTAGAATAGAAAATATTGTTTTTAGAGATACTTCAAATTTTCTCAAGGATGATTAGGGTAAAGTTTGGGTATAAACGACATATATTTACACTCCAAAACAATAGTTTTTGACAAATTTTAGTCATTTGTAAAATATTTTCCAAACTAACTAACTATATTAAATAATATTCCAATTGCCAATTCCTACAGATAGATCTAGCCTTGTACTGAACTATCTTATGTCTTAGAACTAGTGAAAGCAACTCCCCTTTGAAGCCATAACTGACTCGTAAATGCCATTGCTGAATATTAATTTTACATAAGAAATCCCAAAAATAGGTTGTGTATAAAAGAAAAAATCGATCCCAACTATAAAAAAATTAAAATACTTCACACTCCCGATAACTTCAATGCCTGACCAACAGTCGGAAATTTACCAGCATATTACAAGCCCAACTCACTATATGATGATAAAAACTTACTTAATCATTAGCCGGACTCGAACCTGGGACTTTGAGCTCTGGAAGTCAGTGCTCACCCACTGAAGTCAGTGCTGAGCTCTGAAGTCAGTGCTACCTCTCTCCCCTCAAGTTTGTATAAGTTAGTAATTTATTTGGTAAATAAGTTATTCATTGAATATTTTGTAAAACTAATTCATTTATGTCATTTATTCATCAATTTATAAAAAACAGTAACATGGAATACTATATCGCCAGTTTATTGAAAAAATCATTAATACATTATAGTCTATTTGTTAACAAAATATACTACAATCGCATCAAAATGAGTATGCAGACTGTAACATGCGTACCTATCGTATACATTATATATATATATATATATATATATATATATATATATATATCTTTTTTTTCTGCTCGTAATCTATTGCGTCATATGTAGATCACAATATTTGTCTAGTTCTTCCCAATATCTTCATGTGTTTTCACTTAAACTTCTTAAGGAACATATGTAAATCATTTATTTACTCTGGTTATTTTTTTTTATTTTATATTTTATCACAAAAATGGTTATCTTATAAAACTTATTTAGCGTTTCTTTCCAATTTTATTTAGTTATTGTATGTGTTTGTTTTTTCTACCAATATTGTAATATTGTAACCCTGACTGCTAGTCATTAGCCGGATTCGAACCTGGGCCCTTGAGCTCTGGAAGTCAGTGCTCACCCACTGAGCTACTACGCTCCTCTCATATCAATATAAAAACAATAAGTAAAAACAATAAGTAAAAACATATAATTAATCAATAACACTAACAATTCATATACATTATATACTGTCAAATCGCCATCCAAATATTATCATATCATGCCATACCCTTTCCCCTTACTTTTCCTATTTAAAAAACATAAAATATTGGCATAGTGTTCGTTCTTCATCACATTATATATCTATTCTTATGAGAACGCATTTTAAAATAAAATTCGTGATTAATTAAATAAAATAAAATTTATTTACTGATTTTTCAGAAAACAGGACTCCTCTTTACCGAGTAATCGTGCTGTCGAGAATTAAAATTGTAAGACGTAGGCCCGCCCAGCAGCATGCCTTCCTATTTTAAGTTTCCTGAAATGAAAACTTCTTTAGGCGCCTTTTACACTTTATTTTAGTAATTTATAAAATATTATAAGTTTTTTTTTCAAATTTGTCTATTTTCTAAACCAACTAATTCAGTTAAATAATATTTCAATTACAAATTCCCACAGATATGTCAAGCCTTGTACTGAACTATCTTATGTCTTAGAACTAGTGAAAGCAACTCCCCTTTGAAGCCATAACTGACTCGTAGGTGATAGTTTATAGAAGTCCTTTCCCTCATCCTCTCAAATTACTAAGTCTATAAAGATCCTTCCGAAACTTCCGAAATTCTCACAAGAGTTCATGCGCAACTTCAGTTGTCCCTTTTGAATTCGATCCTCTGTTAAATAATTACAATGCAATGCTTGGATCTCCCATTAGGGTATATATAAACCTATATAATTATATAGAGTATCTAAGTACCTATATACTTTTAAAAATCTGAGAGGCGTGAATATAAGACAACAGAAGTCTTTTTATTTTGGTTTTAGGGAAGATAGGCTAGAAAAAAAGAAATTTATATTATGTATACATTGATAATTATAATTAATTTATGCCACTCAAATTAAATAAAAACACAGAGACCATCTGCACTCTTTCCTAGCTATCGATAGACTCCCGTATTTGTTTATGACGGCTGACTTCAAATATAAAAAATTATTAATGAAGATCCACCTCTTAAAAATCACTTCACAAATTGAGTGCAAAATGTGCAACTAAGAAAAAAGAATGACTTTATTTAAATGCCCA